GTATAAAAAGCTTTTCAATTTTGATATTCGTTTATTCAGAGGCTCGTCATAATTTATTTAAAAACACTCGTTGGACAGCTTTCTGAAATTGGTCAAAAGTAGTCTTTCTTTCTTGGTTGATATTGCTCAAGTCCAGACCAGACCATAAAAACCTCCGCTTGATTTCTGTTAATAAGATGTTTGGCTGCAGTTATAAAAAACATCTTGCAATTATTGATTTTCTTCGCAGAGGTGACTTCAAACTTTTAGTGGTATTGCTAGCGTGACAGCCGATTACGCAAATTAGTTCATCGAGCAAACTCCGACCGTTTTATATGAGTAGCTCAATAAATCTTAGATTTTAACCATTTTAAGTAGATGATATAGTAGGACAGAGCTTTAAAATCACACCGATTAATACTTTAAACATTTTAAAAGGCCAAAATTTGACAAATTTTATTATCTCGTGACGAAAGACGTCAACAACAACGTATCGAATTTCATAATTTGATAAGCGCTCGCAAACTCTTTTTTAAAAATTTGGCTTCTGTTATTTCATATTTGAGTTCTGATAGCTTACGCTATTCAAACCTGTATGAACATTTCAAAACCAAACTACAGGATTCTATTCAGTGTAACCGGCGATAACAGCACACACTGAAATACACCGTGACTACTGTCACGCAATTCAATTGTGTAATTATCCAGAATTGCTTCTACTTCGTAACAAAGCAGCGATAACATCGCCTTTTGGATCAGAATTCTGGTCGGCAGGAGTAAGAGCAATTTTTTCTGCACACCTGTCTTTATGAAAGTTTCTATTCGAATTCTGGGGAGTTCTTGTGGAAAAGGACCCCGCGATTTTTTAGGAAATAAATTATGTTACGTGTCACCTCATTTTTCCAACAATTAGCTATATCTATGTTGTAAAGCGCGTAATTTTATTAGCAGTAAGAAGTCCTGTTTTCAGTCGCGCTCCTCAGAAACTTCAATGACAGCTCACTGCAAGTGTTATTTCCGCGCTTGAATTTCATCTGGTGGTAAAAAAATGATTTATGTCATTAAAAATTCCGAAAGTAAGAATAAGTATTTTGAAAGCTTTAAATATTTGGTTCAAAAACTACTAAGCTCTAATATCTTCTATGTCCTGCCGTTTAACGTTTACGTTTCCCTTTCGTCCTCGGGACCGTTACGAATATCTCGGAATGAATAACAGGTTGTATGTAAATTTTTGATCGGTAAATAAGATGAAACAGATAAATTGCCATAAATGTCATAAATGAAGGTATATCTCAAAGATAAAATGAGAATCAAATAAATTTTGTCGGTGGTACATAAAAATTAAAAATTATGGATCGATCGACTTATTTCCGACCGCGATTTCTAGATATCGTAGAGTAATGATCTAAAATAGTCTAGAAAGTTTTATAAGTGTTCGTTTATTTACTTTGTCTTGCTGAGTCATGAGCTACGCCAAGCAAGCCAAGCCGAAACTGATCTTTAAACAGAATATGATAAAGTGAATGTCCCAAGCTGTTAAGCATATCTCTATAAGCAGAGCTCATATTTAGTTGCTGTTGTTATCTTTAGCCTTTTCCAGGCGTTAATTTAGTAAAACGGAGCGAAATGGTGCATGGCATGATAACAGCGGCGGAGTGTAAAAAAAAGAAAAAAAGAAAACGGGAGAAGTTTGGGTCGGGTCAGGTGAACACCGTTTTTACCTGAGTCGACCCAAGCCGCACTCTTGTTTTCGCTCAGCCTTGACTATCGCGCCGTTTGCTGTGCACTTCATTTTACTAGCTGAAAGCCTCGAATAGGCTGTGTTATCACTCAATAAGCTGTCAAAAAAACTGTGATGTAGGCTAAGAGTGACTACTACAGATATTTTCTTCGAGTCAGTGGTGGAGCAACTTATTACGAAAGAGGAATGAAGAGTTAGACAAAATTAATCCAACTTTAATTCTTATTACGGTAATCTTTTGCAAAGGTTTCTGTAGCTTTATGCGTTGCGCCTATGAAATGATTAGATGTTTTTGTTCGGTTGCAAAACCGTATTGTAGAAAGATAGTTTTGTTTTTCAAAAAACCAAAACCTCACCTTAACCTTAAAACCTTCGCTAAAATAACATGTTATTGGGGTCCATAGACTCATCCAAGTGAAGTCTTATAGTTCCTTCCGGATATATATGATGTATATACTGCAAATATTCTTCGTTTTTACCGTGGATAACCTGCAAAAGAGTGGAAACAACAAAAGGATGGCGCCTTTTGCTTTTTGGATACTGCTGGTGTCGCTGGTTTATGCTACATTTTAAGCTACACCGATTAGATATCTATGCTACCTATTGGATGTGTTTGGTTCACGAAGTAACTGGCTATGTGTTATGTTCAGTGTCTTTGTGGACGGTGATGGCCATGAGCGTGGACCGACTTCCCGTCATATTGTTGGGACTAAGTTACAAAGCGATTGCAACTTTGAGGCGCATTGTACCATTTTAGCTATCGTCTGGATTTTATGTATAGTCTCTGGTTTATGTTTGGATGCAAATTACCGTTGAACCTTTTAGTACAGCTTCATACTGATGCCATCCCGCTTGGTAATCCCAATCGCCTCGTACACAATGATTCTTCTAGCTCTCAATCATCATTAGGTTCAATTACAAGATCATGTTTGACAAAAGCCGAACAAAACAAATGCACTGAACGTGGCGTGATACAGAAAGGCAGTGTACAGTGCACTGAGGGTGGAGTTTGCTTTAGATGTCTGCTATGTACCAAACTTAACAGCGGAAATTGTGATATCTTTTAGTTTGAACCGATTATCGAATTTCATCACAATCATCATAGTGATTCGTCCAAATGACGAATGTTTTAATTTTCTTTAACTCCACTTTAAACCCGTTTCTTCACCCGTAGAAGATCAAAGATATAAGACAAGCAGTAAAGCAGACAATCAGATAAGCAATTTGCCATGCATAGGTTTCAACCTATTTCGACGTTTACATTTTCTGTTTCTTCCAAAGCTTTTTAACAATTATGGTTGTTAGGACAGTGGAGAGGATATACCATATGATAAAAGAGTAAGTAAAACTATGAAGAGCTACTTCTATTTTGTATATCGTATTCAAGTTATCTTAAGAACAACTGAAATCTAAAAAACTCTTACTTTGGTAACTATATCACAAGAGTATCATATGCCGAATTCGCACACTTCTAATGAGGCAGTGAAGAGTCTTCTTTTCAAGAAGAATACGCTTACGATTTTGCTATTTAGTCCAAAATGGATTAGATATGTCACTTTGGCTCAGATATACGATTAAGTGTTAACGGATTGTCACAGGAACCACAGGCTCAATTTGTAAATATGTAGACTGTTTTTTTTGTCTTTTTTTGTTTTTTTTGTTTTTTTCACCTGTTTAAATATTTTGAAATCAATTCTTAAAAAGAAAGTCGATTATTACTATTTTCACATCTATCGCGTAAGATCAACCGCTTGCCAGAGAGCAAGTTGCAAATTACGGCAGAAGAAATGTTTGAAAAAAAAAAAAAAAACTCCAACATGCTTGATAAGACTAGCTCTTTTTCAGTATGTTACCAGATTCTCTTAAGACCGCTTATCGAGTGCAAAATTATAGTTCTCAGAGGGTTATCTACCGATTTCTTTGAGCAAGTAATTTTAAATCCACTTTTATGACCAAATTCAAATAAACAAGAAGGCTTATGTTCTAAATAACTCTAGAAAATTTTAAAAATGCTCCTTTATTTACTTTAACTTGGTGAGTCATGAACTAAGCCAGGCGGGCCAACTTAAAACTGACCTTTAAATAGAATATGATGAAATGATGTAGAACGGTCCAGGCTGTTTAGCATATCTCTATAAGCAGAGCTCGTATTTAGTCGCTGTTGTTATTACTAGCCCTTTCCAGGCGTTTATTTAGTAAAACGAAACGAAATGCTACACGGCACGATAGTAGCGGTGGAGTGATGAAACGGGAAAGTTTTGGGTCGGGTCGGGCTAGGTCGGGTGAACGCCGTTCTTTGCCTGACTCGACCCAAGCCTCACTCTTTTTTCGGTTAGCCCTGACTATCGCGCCTTTCACTGTGCACTTCAGAACTGCTCGAACAGGCTGTCTTATTACTCGATAAGCTGTCAAAGAAAAAGCTGCGATGCAGAATACAAGAAACTACAACATATATTTTTTCGAGTCAGTAGTGGAACCACTTATAATGAAAGAGGAATCGAGAGACAAAATGAATGCTATCACCTGTGGTATACATAACAAATTAATTTAATTTATCTTACAGAATGGTTTAATGAGCAAACAATGTAACAAAAAAGGTTTCTGTAACTTTATGCTTTGCGCTTATGAAATGATTGAATATTTTTATTCGGCAGCAAAACCGTGTTGTAAAAAGAAAAAGCTAACATATGCATAGTTTTTCAAACGACTTACTCAAAACCTTGGCTAAAATAACGGGTATTGGTGACCATAGATTCATACAAAGGAAGTCTTCCAACTGCTTCCTGACCAAGTAACATCTGTGTTGCAATCTTTTTTGTTGTTCAGTTTGCCGCACGTATGTGATCATAATTCTGACAAGTTCCGGTATCACAGCATTGGCATAAGCACTTCATCGTCTGTCAATAGCTATTAGTGAAGGTTTTCCTTAGTCAAACACTGATGTTTTCATCTTTTTTTTTTATTATTTTTTTTAAACAATGGTCACAGAGAGTATAAATTTGTCCCTACTATACGATGCCATTTCCAAAATGCCGTTTACCAATTACAGGTAACTAAGACAAACAGTGATGTTCAGGAGCAAACTTCCGCCTTAAAACCAGTGATAATTTGCACACACATTGTGTCCCGTGGGGAAAGAAATTGATTCTTTTTTATGTTTTGACCAACATTTCCACCCTTAAAAGGTGCGACATGTAGAGAAAAAAAATACTAAATCTTTTTAGAATAACTTTGCATCTCTAACCAACATAAATTTTGAAATTGGACTTTTTCTCTACGTTTTCCTAAGCTGTTGACAATTCGTATCATCCCAAGGTCACGTAAATTAATAATTCACGCTATTATCCGGGTAAGGAAACGAGTCCGATCCAAACAACACGTCGGCCTATGCTTTGATCAAGGCGTCGGTCGACGGCAATCGGTGACTATAAACGAACTGTCAGTCGACTTTCGATATCCTATCACTGAAGATTTATTTCAGTAAATAATTTTTTTTATTTTTTTGGAAAATTAACCTATCACAAATGCAGTTTTACTTTCCCCTTATTACTAATTCAAATTTGCGCAGAAAGACTGGCCTTTTTTGCTCTTTCGTGTCACAAACCTCACAGCTTTCCGGCATTATACATAGTCAGACGCTTGTGATGAACTTTTACTCTCTACAATTGTTATCCAAAAACAAAAGGTTTAAAAAGGTTTAACCGACCTTGACTTAAAGGGTGCTGTTAGGACGAATTACTCCTCGTTGTATCTAAGGATAACTTCCAAAAGAGTGGAAACGACAGCAGGATGATGGCGATAACAAATCTAACGGGAAGTGGAACACATACGAAAACATTTGACGAATCGCTATGTTCCCCACTTTGGTTAGGTGATTTTAAACAACAGTCCATTTCATTCTCAGTAGTCAACATTCTCCTCTCCATCACAGCAATTCTTGGGAATTCCCTTATCCTTATTGTCCTTCACAAAGAATCTTCCCTCCATTCACCATCCAAACTCTTGTATCGTTGTCTGGCAACAACTGATCTGTTGGTTGGTCTTGTTAACCAGCCTCTCTATGCTGCTTACTGGATGTCCGTGGTTTACGAACACTGGAGTTTTTGTCGATACGCAAAGGACGCAATCTTCATATCAAGCTATGTATTATGCGGAGTGTCTTTGATGACGATGACGGCCATAAGCGTGGACCGACTTCTCGCCATGTTGTTGGGACTGAGATACGAAGAGATTGTAACTTTGAGGCGCACTCATATCATTTTAGCTATCGTTTGGGTTGTATGTCTAGTCGCTGGTTTATTCTCTTATCTCATTTACCGTATAGGCCTTTGGTACCGCATCATAATTATACTATCTGGTCTGGTAATCTCAGCCGCCTCGTACACGAAGATTTTCCGCGCTCTCCGTCATCATCAGGCTCAAATACAAGACCATGTTCAACAACAGCCGAACCAACCAAATGCACTGGACATAGCGCGATACAGAAAGGCAGTGTATAACGCGATTTGGATGCACTTAGCTTTAGTTGTCTGTTATGTTCCACAATTTACAGTGAATATTGTTATCTTTCTTAGTGCAAAGAGATTTTCGAATTTCTTCTTAATTTGCGGAATGGCAACTGTCTTAATATTCTTTAATTCTACTTTAAACCCGTTCCTTTACTGCTGGAAGATAAGTGAAGTGAGACGAGCAGTAAAGCAGACGATCAGACATGCAATCTGCTTTGCAGAGGGGTAGACCTATTTTAACGTTGGCATGTACTGTTTCTTCTATGATTTATATGGAAATTATGATATCTTTGAGTTTAACCCGATTATCGAATTTCATCATAATTAGGGGCATGGCAGATGTTTTAGTAGCTTTCCTTAACTCGACTTTAAACCCCTTTCTTTGCTATTAATTTAAAAGCATTCCCATTACCAATTTCCAATATTCAAGGGAAATACGTGACTCTATCTCAGGCCGTGTATACAAAGCTGGTATTATGAGAAAACATTTTATCATTTCGTGACAATCGAGTACGAAAGCTGCTGACACACGCTCTTGAGTACCTATCACTACTCCTAATTAAAAAGGTTTGTATGACAGCTCACCGCCTCAAGTATTATTTCCGCGCTTAAATTTCATCTGATGGTCAAAAAAAGATTTATGTCATTAAAATTCTGAAAAAAAGAAATAAGTATAATGGAAGGAATAAGACTTTGGTTTAAAAATTACTACGCTGTTAAATCTTTTAGGTGGTTTCTTTAACATTTCCCTTTCATTCTCGGGACTGTTACTTATATTAAAGATTGAATAAAGGGTTGTATGCAAATTTTGATGAGTAAATGAAAAAAAATATGAAAAAGTTAACGTTACCATACATGTCATAAATGAAGGTATATTTCATAGATGAAATGAGAATCATATCAATTTGGTCAGTGATGTTTAAAAGTTCAAAATTATTTACCAGTATCCGCTAATTTCCAACCGTGATTTCTAGATATCGTAGAATTTTGTTCTAAAATACTCCAAAAAGTTTGAAAATGCTCGTTTATTTACTTTGTCTTGCTGAGTCATGAGCTAAGCCAGGAAAGCTAAGCTGAAACTAATCTTTAAACAGAATACGATGAAACGATGCATGATGTAGAATGTCACAGGCTGTTAAGCATATCTCTATAAGCAGAACTTATAGCTGCTGTTGCTGTCACAAGCCTTTTAAACGCTTCCATTTAGTAAAACAGAGCGAAAATGGTGCATGGCACGATAGTAGCGGTGAAGAGAAAAAACAAGGGAGGCTTGGGTCGGGTTTGGTCGGGTCGTGTCCAGGTCGGTTCAGGTCGGGCCGGTTGAACATTGTTCTTTACCCAGACCTTAGCCTCACTTTTTTTTCGCTCCGCCGTGACTATCGCGCCGTTTATTGGGCTCTTCGTTTGACCGGCTGAACGCTTCCAGCAGGCTATGTTGTCACTCGATAAACTGTCACAAAAAATGCTGTGATGCAGAATATAACTGAATGCTACAGATATTTTCTTCGAATCAGTAATAGAACCACCTATTACGAAAGAGGAATCGAGAAAAATATATGACACCATCTGTTGTATACGTGACAACTTTAATCGTTATTATGGTAGTTTTTCGAAAAAAACCCATACAAAACAGGGCTAAATAACATTGTCTTGGTGACAAGAGACTCATCGAGAGGAAGTCTTCGAAATGCTACCTGACCGAGTAGAATCTGCACTGCAACCTTTGCCGCACGTATGTGATCATAATTCTGACAAGTTCTGATATCACAGCATTGGCTAAGCACTTCGTCATTTGTCCATAGCTTTTAGTAAAGGTTTTCCTTAGTCAAACACTGATTTTTTTCACCATTTCTTTTAAAAGAATGGTCACAGGGAGTATAAATTTGTCCCTGTTATACGATGCTATATCCAAAATGTCGCTTACCAATTCGATTAACAGGCAACTGAGACAAACAGCATTGTTCAGAAGCAAACTCTCGCCTCAGCACCAGAGACAATTGGCACACAAAATGTCTCCGGTGAGAAGAATGTTTGAATTCCTTGTTTATAATTAAGGATAACTAGTACAGGTGTGCATTGTTAATGGTGTTTACAAAAAAAAAACTTTTCACCGCTACATCTATTTTCAAACCTTTTAGGACAAAAAGGAAGAGTTCAAGGCGGTTTGATCGGTAGAGAGATTTTCATGATCTGAAAGTTCCAGTCAGGTGCAACACAAAGAGAACAAAGAACAAAAATATAAATATTTTAGGAGTAACTATGCATTTGTAACCACACATTAATTTTGAATAGTTTCATGCAATCTAACTTTCTATTTTTCCCATACCGATTATCCTTTTCAAAAATTGGCATTATAGATGAGGAAAATAGAATAACTAAGATGATAAATATTGAGCACGTTACTGAACTAGAGAAAAAAAATGTTTTTTGTCTTGTCACGTGCGTAAGACAATGAAGAAACCTTGAGTCTCCCTTGAGTCTCAGGAAAGTATTGATAATTTTTTTGTTTTTTTGTTTTTTTTTTGTTATCATAACAATCACGGATGGACGCAAAAGCGTGTTAATAAGGCCGATGAACTTCGATTTTGCTGTGTTGAAAAATACAGAGGACAATTACAAGTAAAACGTATGGAGTAGATTCAAACTGTTTCGTATACTTAACTCAACGCCTTAAATAAATTGATCATGCGTTTTCTTTGCAAATGAATTGTTTGCTTATGGACCAATTTGAATCCGAAAAACAAAGATGAAATTGAACATACTTTCAATATCCAAAATTTTTTAGTACGGATGGTCGGTTTACTTCATGTTACTATAATAAAAGAAGACAGAATTATGGATACGTTTTCTTGTCTAAATAGTACATCACCTGTGGAACTGATGGAATGATAAAAATGTTCCTGGTTTCAATAGCGCGGCCATTAGTGTTTGTATCTTGAAAACCGTTTTCCCCTCTTACCTCGATATGAAATTTGCTTAATGAAAATAAAAATATATATCACTACTTGAAACATATCTTTATAAATGTTCGATATTACATGACCACTTTCCATTATGAACCAGCACGTTATAAGTATTGATCAAATTTTTACTCGATCGGAGGCAGAATATCTTTAATTATCCATCACAATCGAATTCAGACTAGAGTCATCGTGTTTAACAAAGTCTCTAAGTTAATTTGATATCTGAAGGGGAATATTCTTGAATTATCGAATGAGTGGAAAAAGTATTAGCCCCAATCATTTGTCATGTTTATTTAAAAAAAAAAAACTCTTCCTCATCTTATTTCCAGATCCACTTTGAAACAAAGGAAAATAACCGAAAAGAGAATTAACGCAGAATACAATTTCTCGCTCCAGTAAACCAACTTCCACTTTTGAGTTGGATCATTTAGAATAGAAAGGAAAGGATGAAAAAACAATGAAAGAAATTAAGAAGTGAAATATGTATGGAAGAAACTTTGGTTTGGTCATGTATTATTTCCAGCTCTCTTTTTCTTATTTAGGTTTAATTACAATTAGATGCGACCCGTCTGAAAAGCTGGAGGTTTTCGTCAAACATTATATTAATGAACGTCTACAAACATTTAAAGTAAATGGTTTTTTTATTAGTTATATCCCTTGGTGGTTGGATTGAGAATGTTCTTAGGGACTTCTAGTTCATTTAAATGAATGTTTACCACTGATTTTTCTTTCCATATCTGAAGCTGCCTTTTTCTCAAAAAGGCATCAGGTGTCCTATTGATTTCTCTTTGGACATTTTGCTTTGGTTTCATCTGTTTTCTCCCAAATTTGGTGAACTTTTGTGAAAGGCTGCTCTACAAACCTATCAAGGCTTTAATTTTTTGGTGAACTAACTCGAAGTTTAACTTCGTTCAAAATTATGAAGTTGATATGGCAACGTAACTTTGTGAAAACTGAAATTGCATAATCTGTAGGAGAGTTTGTGGGGCGTTATGTTAGAAATGTTCTGAAAATACAAAGTTGAAAATAGTCGTTGGTGGGGGGGATATGAAATTTATGGAAAAAGCCTCTATGAAAAACGTAGTCAATAATTAACTTTATAATCCATCAAATATTTTTGCTGGCGACAGATTGGTTTAAATGCATCAGGTGACCGAATATCCCGGTTAAAAACTGGGGAATATCCGAGAATATAGCTTGAGTCATATTCCCCAATTTTCAAAACTTATACGTCCAGTAAGATTAAAGTCTTTTTTGTAACTTTATTCAAGATGATAGAAATTTTTTGATTGTTCCAGAGGAAGAAATATGTTTGTTCATAAAATTTTACCAGGGAACATAAAAAGTGAACATCCTACGTAAGATTTAATTTAACGTAAGGGATAATAAACAAAATAACCTGCAATGACGCAAAATATGCTCGTATGTTAGTCTATGGCCATTATGTGTTCGTAAAAGCACAGTTTTTTTCGAGCTTTGCTCTCAGGAAAGCGTTTGCGACGGGTACTATCTCTTCCCAACTCCCATTAATTTCATTCAAACGCGACAATAACATAGGCAACTTTTTGGTCAGAAGTTCATTTTAAACTAATGACAAACTGGAACTTTCAAAAGCGCTCGCTCACGATGCAAAATCTTTCCTTTCATTTATAGTGTGGGCAAAATGTTGGACCAAAGAGATCCATTACGACTATTGATCACTTCACTTCCACCAATGTCATTTACTGCATAACTTGCACTTATTGCTAAAAGTTATACATTTGTGAAATAGGAAGACGACTAGGTGACCGTTTCTATGAACACCTTCATGACGTAGACAGAAATGACAAGGACGTATCCAAATCAGTCGCTAGACGCTTAAATCTTATCGCGGCCTTTCCCTACATCTAGGCGGTTCGGAAAGCCGCAATAATCTAGAAAAAAAAAATTATCTCTCAAATCGGCGCTCTTAATCACCGCGGTATCAACAAGCGCTTGTGATTCAACTTATTTATTATTGTTTTCTCGTTATCATGCCCCCATAAATGGCGTTTCTGCATCTAAACACTCACACAACCCACAATTCCTCCATTCGCTCTGACGAAGGCCTAATGCTCGAAACTTCAGCTTTGGAATTCTTTACGGTGGCCAAATTACCTAGTTCCAGGCTAGGTGATTTCAGATTGCAATGCATTGTCATTAAATTGCAAAAGAATTTAGTGCAAAAAAAAACTGATTCACTTGCCGTTTACAGGCCAGGACCACACTTATTTCATGCAGCTGGCGTACAGAACCAGAAGCAGATGGGCGTTGTTTTTTTTTTTCCGCTTTCATTTTTTTCTGTTTTATGTTGTGTTGGAAAATTAACCTATCACAAATACAGTTTTATATTACCCTTATTACCAATTCAAATTCGCGCACAAAAACCGGTCTTTTTTCTCGTTCGTTCGACAAACCTCACAGTTTACTGAATAGTCAGGTAGTAGTGATGAATTTTCACTCTCTTTAATTGCTATTAAAAAACTAAGTTTTAACTGATCTTGACTCGGAGGTTGCTGTTAAGACGAAATATCCCTTGTTTGTAACTAAGAATAACTCGCAAAAGAGTGGACGCGACAGCAGGATAATGGCGACAACAAATATAACAGGAACTGGAACACAATCGAAAACATTTGAAAGATTGCTATGCCCACCGGTTTGGATAGGTGAGTTTAAAAAACAGTCCATTTCGTTCTCAGCAGTCAACATTCTATTCTCCATCACAGCAACACTTGGGAATTCTCTCATCCTTGTTGCCCTTCACAAGGAATCTTCCCTCAATCCGCCATCCAAACTCTTGTATCGTTGTCTGGCAACAACTGATCTGTTGGTTGGTCTTGTTACCCAGCCTCTCTGTGCTACTTATTGGATGTCTTTGGTTCACGAACATTGGAGTCTTTGTAGATACGTAAGGAACGCAATCTACATATCAGGTTATGCATTATGTGGGGTGTCTTTGTCAACGTTGACGGCCATAAGCGTGGACCGACTTCTCGCCCTGTTGTTGGGACTGAGATACAAAGATATTGTAACTTTGAGGCGCACGTACATCATTTTAGCTATCTTTTGGGTGGTATGTCTAGCCCCTGGTTTATTCTCTCTTCTAAATTACCGTATAACCTTTTGGTGCAGCTTCATAGCTGCATCATCTTGCCTAGTTATCTCAATCGCCTCATACACAAAAATTTTCTGCGCTCTCAGTCATCATCAAGCTCAAGTACAAGATCATGCTCAACAACAGGTGAGCCAATCAATTACTCTGAACATGGCGCGGTACAGAAAGGCAGTGTACAATGCACTTTGGGTGCAGCTAGCTTTAGTTGTCTGTTATGTACCATATGTTACACTGAAAATTGTGATCTCTCTTAGTAGAGAGCGATTTCCGAATTTTATAATAATCACCGAAATGGCAACTGTCCTAGTGTTATTTAACTCTACTTTAAACCCGTTACTTTACTGCTGGAAGATAAGTGAAGTGAGACAAGCAGTAAAGCAGACAATCAGACAAGTAATCTGCTATGCATAGGGTAGACTTATTTTAACGTTAACATATACTGTTTCTTCCGTAGCTTACTTCATATATAAAAAAAATAAGGAAGAATATG